GCTTTGCTTGGTCAAGTCCATCTCAAAAGAGTCCTGCTTCTTCTGCTCCAGAGCTACTGCTATAAGTTGGGGGGGGGGTTCAAAATTTGAAACTCTGAGAAACTTCTGTTTTTTTCTATTTTTGCCCCAAGGGACTTCATTCTGAATCATACAAAAACATGTCATTTCAATCCAGCAAGTTTTGGGTTCAAATCCAGACTCTACCATTTATTAGATGTGTTGTTTAAGGTCATTTGGCCAGTCTGTGCCTTACTTTTCTTAAGCGCAAAGCAGAAGTGATAATAATACCCCCCGACACCCTGAGCTGCTGTGAAATTAATGAAGAGATTCATGTGAAAGAGTGTCATATAAATGGTCATGAATATTAATTATTATTCATTCCACAAATATATATTAGTGCTTTTATTTAGTGCTCAACAGAAACACATTCCTTGTGGTTAGTGTTTATAGAGAAGTTCCTTCTTTTTTTTTTTTTTTGATAAAGCCAGAGTCCTAGAGGATTAAAGTTCCACCTTTATGACTTCATTTATTTATTTATTTATTTATTTTTTTAATAATAAATTTTATTTTTATATTCCCCATACAATTGCAGCCCCCCCATTCTGACCCCAATCCCTCCCCTCCCACCCCCGCCCCCCTAAAAGTGTCTCTGGTTCACAGTTTTTTGTTGATTTTGATTTTCACTTTCTTATAGTTATTCGTTTTCCTGGTCCCTTATTTAAGTTTTCTAGATTCCTGCTATGAGTGAAACCATCCGGTATTTTTCTTTTTCTTTCTGGCTTATTTCGCTGAGCATGATCCCTTCCAGCGCCATCCATGTTGCTGCAAATTGCATGTGTTTATCTTTTTTGAATGCTGAGTAATATTCCATGGTATATATGTACCACATCTTCTTGATCCAGTCATCTATTTTTGGGCATTTGGGTTGTTTCCAAAGCTTAGCTATTGTAAACAGTGCTGCTATAAACATAGGGGTGCAGGTGTTCTTTGGAATTGATGTTTCTGTGTCCTTTGGGTAAATACCTAGGAGTGGAATTGCTGGATCATATGGAAGCTCTATGTTTAGTAGGTCCAGAAATCTCCACACAGCTCTCCACAGTGGTTGGACCAGTTTGCACTCCCACCAACAGTGCAGAAGAGTTCCTTTTTCTCCACACCCTCGCCAACATTTGTTGTTGCTAGTTTTTTTAATATGTGCCATTCTCACTGGTGTAAGATGGTATCTCATGGTAGTTTTGATTTGCATTTCCCTGATGACAAGTGATGTTGAACATTTTTTCATATGCCTGTTGGCCATTTGCATTTCCTCTTCAGAGAAGTTTCTTTTTAGCTCTTCTGCCCATTTTTTGACTGGATTCTTTTCTTTGTTGTTGTTAAGTCTCATCAGCTCTTTGCAGATTTTTGTGATCAGTCCTTTATCATTAGTGTTGGGTGCAAAAATGTTCTCCCAGTTGGTGGGGTTTCTCTTTGTTTTTGTTATTGTCTCTTTTGCTGTGCAGAAGCTCTTTAATTTGATGTAGTCCCAGCTGTTTATCTTCGCCTTCACTATCACTGCTTTGGGTGATGTGTCTGTAAAGATGTCTTTGATGTGCAAATCACGTAGTGTTTCGCCTATATTTCCTTCTATATATTTTATGGTTTCAGGTCTTATGTCTAGTTCTTTAATCCATTTTGAGTTGATTTTTGTGTATGGTGTGAGGTAGGATTTATGACTTCATTTAACCTCGTAAATTACTTCCTAAAGCTCTTATCTACCTGACACAGTATCTTGGAATTTAGAGTTTCAATACATGAATTTAAGGGGGATACAATATAGTCCATAGTATTCTGCCCTTTTGCCAAATGTTAATCTCATTCTGATATACCCTCACAGACACATCCAGAATTATCTCTGGTCAAATGTCTGGATTCCTCAGGGCCCAGGCAAGTTGACATGTAAAATTAACTATCACAGTCTCTGACCCAGGAGACTTGAGACTTCATTAGCATCTGTGAAACTGTGGCAGGCTAACTTCCTAGCTTGGAAGTAAGGTAAGTTCTCAGATCTTTCATTGTTCTTGATGATTTTATCAAACTAACTCAATTGATTTTAAGACTTTTAATAGAAAGGGAACTTTAATTATTGTGCTTTTCCTTTGTGGTTTCAAAATATAAAAGATGTTGGGAAGTATTGCAAAAATTTTTATTAAAAAAATATTGTGTTTCCTCTAAGTCATTCTAGCTTTTCCAAATTTTGGTGTTGAAAATGCCAGCCCTGTACCGGAAAATGCCTCTGAACACACACGGGTTGCCTTAATTACTGTGTCTGTCTCACCTCACGCTTCTCTGATTGGAGATCCTGTTATCATTAATGTGAATCCTGTAATTCATCCATTTGTGCTGTCTCGTATATCTGCACATCAGTGGGAAGTAAGTATGTAGGTAAAGAGTACATCACTTGTACCAGAAGGGTTTTTTTTCTTTTTTTAAAGATTTATTTATTTATACATATAAGAGCTGGGGTACAGGCCAGAGGGTGAGAGGATTCACCAGAGACAAAGTAGGGAACAGAACAGGCAGGCTGACTGAAATACACTGCTGAGGGGAGCAGTGGGCGAGACAGGAGAGGTCTGCTTCGCCATGTGGGTTTCTCCCTGGCCAGCCGGGGATAGAACTCGTGCTGCAGAGGCTGCAGATTGCTTCATAGTGCGGTGCTTAACTCCTTGCGCCACCAGGGAGGCCCTGTACCAGAAGGGTTTTAAAACAAAAGGATCATCTTCTCTCTTACGGGAAAGACAGGCCTGCGAGTCTATGAGAACTTCTAAAGAGGGCACTTGACTAGTCAGCTTACTTGAGCTTACATGACAATCCTCAGAATGAGTAGAAATTAAATAGGTGAAGAGAGAGAGAACTACAGATGGAGGGAATAGCATGTGTAAAGGCCCTGAGGCATGAAGAAGGGTGGAGAAGGAACCAAGAGGAAACCGAACGTGGTGGGAGCTAAAGGGAAATGTAGTGAAAATTTAAACTTCCAAGGAAGAGCCAGCAGGACCTGTCAGATATGTTAGAAAGTTTTTTTTTTTTTTTACCATCTAGTATAAAAAAGCTAATTTCTTCCTCCAGCGCCAAATTTATGCAGGCTTACTGATCATTTTAGAGGTTCTGAGTTTCCTACACTCAGTTCTTCAAATGTGATGCCAACCCACAGTCCTTGTCTGGGCCCCTCTGCACTACCCCTGTGGAGCCTGAGAGCAGGGACAGCAATGTGAACAGGAAGTCCCTGCCACTTTCTGTGTTGTGAGTAACGAGGGACCCTAGGGCTGTGTGGCTTCCACCAAGGTTTCTTATGCAGGGGAGTCTGAATTGGTTCTTAACTTTTAAGAGATTCCCAAACTGATAGGTTGCACACATACCTAAATCACCAATTAGGAGGAGTCATAAGAGACTGTAAAATAATAGTTAAGAAGAGGGATTGTGGAGCCATACTGCCTGGTTTCAGACAGAAGGATCAAATTATATTACATTCTTTGTAAAACACATTAAAAGACTTTGAAAAGCCAACAAGAAGTTTCCATGGCAGAGCTCAGTTGTGAGGGGAGCGAGCTGTTAGAAGAAAGGGTCACAGACGCATGTTTTCTAAGGCCTAGTCGGGGGATGGTTAGGATTTTAGATGTATTCTAAGTAAGGTAGGGCATTATTTACCTATAGTCACAAAAATATTGTATAACAAGCCACCTCAACAATCGGTGGCATACAGCAGTAAGCACTTATTTCTTGCCCATGTACCTGAGGGTTGGCTGTTCTCACAGCCGGAGTTGGGTTTGTTCCTCCTGCTCCTCATCCTCCATTAACATTGAGGACATGCCCAAAGCCACATGTATATTTTAAGATCTATGTCTCCTTATATTCCATGCATTACAACTAATCATATTTCCAAGTCATGGGTTGGAGAAATACACAGTACAAAGTCATATGGCATATGGCAAAGGACTGAATATAGGTAATGGTAAAGAATTGGTAACATTGAATACACTTCCTGTATCTAACAGAGCATTGGGAGTTTGCAGAAAAGAGAGATGATATGCTTACATTAAAAAAAACAAAAACCAAAACAAAACTATTATAGCTACTGTGAGGAGAAGAGACTATATAGTGTCAAGGGGTACGTTCGGGGTTATTGACTATCCTCCCCCAATTTTTTTAAGATTTATTTATTTATGCATACAAGAGCTGGGGTGTAGGCCAGACGTGTGGGGGAGGTGAGAGGATTCACCAGAGACAGAGTGGGGAGCAGAACAGGCAGATCTAGTGAAATACACTGCTGAGGGGAGTAGTGGACAAGACAGGAGAGGTCTGCTGTGCCATGTGGGTCAGCTCCCTGGCCGGCCGGGCATGGAACTCTCATGCTGCAGTGGCTGGCAATAGCTTGATAGGACTGTCTTTAACCCCTGTGCCACCAGAGAGGGCCTCCTCCGCAAATTTTATTATTGTCAGATTTAAATTTGCTTCTAAATTCAGTTAGATCGAAAATGCTATCTCATGCCTGTTCTTATTTAGATATTAGATGTTTCTTGCAAATCTGAGCAGCAGAATGGTAACAAACAGTGTGTATGAGAGAGTGAGGTAGTGACTCATAGCTGTTCTAAGCAGAGATTTGGGGGTTAGTAAACCTCGGTTTGAGCAACAGCTTCTCTAGTTGGTACAAAGTGACCTTGGGAAAAATAACTTGACTTTTTTTGCACTTTGGTTGTCTTTTCTGTACAAATAGATGAATAATAACAATACCACCTCATAAAGGTTGGTAAGAAAATCCTATAAGATAATGTATATAAAGTGCCATCTTAGTGTTTGGTCCATAATGAGCAATTAACACACAGTTGCTCTTATTATAATAGTTTATACTTCAATAATCAACACTATTATAGTCCAATTACAGATAACAAAAATGATAAGAAAGATGGTCATATCATAGCTATATCAGGACAGCTCTAGATAGCTGTTCAAATATGAATAGATAAAACATGAAGCAGTTGCAAAGGATAGCAATAAATCTACAGGTAAAACAAAAGTAAATGAGTTAATATCTGTCTTATAGCCTTACAGTATAAAAGACATTTACTATTTCATTTGAAGTTTATGATTAAGTCTATGATTATCTTTTATTGTATATCCTTCCTTGAAGTGCATATATTTGTTTGGTTTACAAAAGACTTAGAGATTAGGGAGGGTGTCTGGGCAGGTAATCAAATAAAAAAGAGAAAAAGTCAGAATCAAAGAAGTCTCCCAGAGAAACAATGCAGAGCTTAAATGAATTGATTTACGTAGATAAATCAATGGAGATGAGACAAGGTACCCTTTGGTTACCTAATTTTCAAATTGCTACCTGTCATTGAGCAATATAAGTGAGGTTACACAGGCAGAATGGCAAAAGAAATCTAAGTTACTCTTTGTATGTGCCCTTTTTGTTCCCTGGGTGAGAGTAATCAATCAGAGGGGACTTTGACCATCTTGCCATCTTCTTCCATTGTACAGTGTAAAGAATAACACCTGAATTTTTAAAAACCCAGCAAGTATTTTTTGAAAAGCCTTGAACTTTGCAAGGTGCTAGGGAGAAGAAGGGCACAGTTGCTGCCTGTGTAGAGCTCTCAGTGCAGAGGGAGCTACAACCAGCAGGGCCAGCCTGAGCTCAGGGCTGTGCTCGCTGGGTAAGGGAGGACTTGAGAATAGTGCTATGCTTAATTGTGGCTTAAAAATCCTGTATCTGGCCTCCCTGGTGGCGCAGCACTGTGAAGCTGTCAGCAGCCTGTGTAACCTCACTTTTATGAAGTCAGTCATTCACTATGTTATTCTGCCTTTTTTTTAAAGTTATTCACCACTGGAGAAATCAGCTTAGACTTTGAGACCGTTACTCTCTACTCCTTGGTAATCTATGCCAAAGACAGCCAAGGAGCCACAGCATCACAGACCATTTTAATCCAGATTGCAGATGTGAATGAACCCCCGACCTTTATTGGATCCCTTGCTCAGGGACACCAAGGTACTGTGCTCTTCTCTTGGGGAAGAAAACATCCAAAGGAGGGTATATGCAGAAGCCAAGCCCTATGTCCTCTGTGCTCTCACAGTGTCACAGCTAAAAGAGTGATAGGAGAATAATGATAACAAAAATCATGATAAATGGTCACTAATTATGTAATAGGCCCTGTACTAAGAGCTTCAGCTGTATTATTTTCACAGCAGTGGAGACAGGTTCTATTTGTATTTGTGTTGTATAGATGAGTTAACATTCTATACAAAGGTCAAGCAACCTGTTCAGTGTTAAAAATTATTCATTTATCTGCTTGATTATTGTGTACTAAAATGAGCCCTTTATTCATGTGATTATGTAATTAACATTGTCTATGTCATTAAGTAGAAATGTCGTGAGGGCAAGGATCATGTTATTTTTACTCTCTAATTGATTTCTATGATGTATGAACCTCTCACTTTTGTCTCATTCTTTCTCATCTGCCTAGGTAGTCAAATATTTAATACCTATGTATGGATGATCCATGTTCTCCATTAAAAGCATAAACATTTGAGGTTTAGCTGGTGATGGCCACTAAGGGAAGAGCTATTAAGCTTTTCTGAGCCTCAATTTTCTCATTGGTTAAGCTGAGTTATTAATCCATTCTTGATGATGCTTACCTGCAAGTGTGTTAATGGGTCAACCATAGTGCTAAGCATGAATAAATGCTAGTCTTGTTTCCATTTCCTTCTACAAGCAGATGATTAACTTCCCCACAGCAGATCCAAAGTCAAATCATGCTCTATGACTTCTGAAACAGAGTCTGGTGCCAGGTTGCTTTAGACACTCCACGAGCTTTTGCCTATGGGACAGCCAGGCCAGTGTCCTGTCAAGAATCCAAATGGACCTGTGGACTCTGGATTTCCCCAAATCCTGTCCCATTGACTTCTCTGGGGATGGGTCCTCTTCCTTAGGCACTGAGGGATCTGCCACTATTTCCGTATTTCTGAGCCCAGAAGAGTGGTTTAACAGTAAATTGGCAAGTTTGTGTTTCCCTGCTGTTATTTTAAAAAATAGATAAAAAGAGGGCAAATGTAAGAAAGAGATAGGCAATAAGATAATCAGATAATATTAATGTATTAGCTTTCAACTTGAGTCTATTGTTTAATCTTTGTAAAGCTCAGTAAAATGGAAATAATAAAGTCACCAATGATGTCAAGTACTTAGCAATTAAGAAACATTTAGAAATGTTCAATATTGTTATTGTTTAATTTTTCTAAATACCCTTGCTCTGTTTGACACATGATAGACACTCGATACATGGTGTCTACTATTATTATGGTTATGATTATTATGAGTAATGGGAATCACCCTTTAAAAATATCTGTACTGAGCCAGCACAATGCCTTAAGTTTTTTTGAAAATCCAGATTTCATGATGGTCTTGGGGTCTTGTAATGGTGACATGCACTCAAATACAACTATTTTACATTTTCTGGCAGTTACTGAGATTTATATTCTAGAAGACACTGCTCTGGGAACAGTCATTTATAGAGCAGTTGCCAAGGATCCAGAGGATGAAGTTTTGGAGGTAATTTATGGTTTGGGGCAAAGAATATCAGAGCCTGGTGGTTTAAATGTGACCTCAATCACATAGCCACAGAAACAATCAGGTTAATTAAACCCACAATTTAGGTTTCAAACATAACTTTTGCCTCAATTGTCAGCACATTTCCGGCAAAAAGGATTGAAGGTTGGGTTGTCTATACAACTGCTTTCCTTCTAGTATCTTCTACCCTGTGTAGGCAGGCCCCATATAACCTTTAGGTAACTTCTGACAAAAGATTCTAAGACATTTCAATTCATTTTTGGGGTACAGCCATACACACTGTTAAGAAACAACACAGCTTTCTGGCTAAATCAATTGGTATTTCAAAATACTAGGTCTCCTCTTCAGGCTTTATAATGCCCCAGGAATATACTTGTTTTCAGAATAGGTGTCTTCCAGTTATAGATAATGTGAGAGAGAGAGGAAACTTGGACTTGGTGCTGGGAGGCTTGGATATAAGCCCTAACTTATACCCAGGAGGCTTGAATACAAACCCTGCAAGTTATTTGACATTTCTGCTTTTCTGTTTCAACTATAAAATTGGGATAAGGATATCTACTTTGGCCTCTCATATTGCTTTCTCTCATATTATGAGTGTTAAAGTGGTTTTTAAAACTCTTTAATTTTGTAAAATAGCTTGCAAATGACAGCACTTATTATTGTCTTCATTTTAATGTCATATGAAATGACTATCAAACTGCAACATTTTTTAGCTAATGAATTGAAAGACAATAATATCCTAGTTTTAATTTTTTAATGTTGCATTGCTTTCCCAACTGGGTTAAAAGTTAGAGAATTATCCATTTTGATGCTGCAATTTTAACATTTACAGTTTACTGGTATTGCTTCTGGATCTGTGTCTAAAGCAACTGGAAACAATAGATGGCCACTGATGTCTGAGGCACTGTCCACATGGTTTTTAAAAATATTCAATACACTTGAGTAATTAATTACACAAAGGAACACTGCTGATGTCAAGCTCCCCCCCACACATTTGTCTCATTCTCCTCCCAAAAGCACAATGCTACTTCCAGGATGGATCTAGAAAGGTCACAGCTTCCTTCACAACATGCAATTAAGCCACCTAATCATGCATATTTCTCCAAATCAACATGTTCAAGATTATAGCATTAAACCAAGCACTAAGCAACTCTAGCTACATAGAAATCAGATATCATATTACAATTGCTTCCTTGGTATTCTCCATGGCAGCTCACCCACCATGTTGACATTTCAGGGTGGAAACTATATCACTGTCCAATTGGGTTTCTCTCTCACTCTAACATGCAATCACAATGACTTAGGAGCCAATTAATGCAAGTAATTCATTTCAAATGAAGGACTCCCAAATGCTTGCTCATTGAGATTAAATGTTTCTGGCCCTGGCCCTATACTTTTCTCAGAAGGAATTGGTTCCTGGGCCATATTTGGAAGGCTCATGCTATGTTCTTTGTAGGTTTTACCAAACGTGGAATGACATTTCAGGGTTGACATAAGCTGTGGAAACGTACATTTAGATATACTCCTACACACATCCTCTGACACAGTAGGTCAGGCCAGATGTGTTATTCAAATTCTAATGACCTGGCAACAGCTTTCATCAGTCGGAGTCTTCATATTGATACAGAGAAGAATTCATTCTAATTTGGGAAAGAACTCACCACTGTTTTGGAGTCTGATGTTTGAGGATACTAATAATGACTTTAATAATCGCATTTATCATGTGACAGTCACGTAATTTAATTTTTATCAGTGAATTTCCCAGGTTAATCCCTGAAGTATATGCTATTTCCGCTATCATATTAATTAGTGAATTAATAACTGTATTATTATGTTTTTTAATTTATAGATGAGGAACATTAGGCTAACAGGATTAAACAATTTACCTAAATAATAAATAGTAGAGTTGAGATTCAAACCCATCTCCATTTTGCTCTAATAAAAGCTGTGTGTTTTTTACCAACAAAAACAATACCACAGTGTATGTGACACAGCACAAGTTCCACCAGATATTTCATGAGAGGAAAAAAGATTCTGTGATCAAATGACTTTGGAAGATAATGTCTATCCATCTCCTTTGATTTTACAATATAAAACATTTTAAATATCCTGAAGCATTCTCTTATAGATATTGAGTTAGCCAAATATGTTCTAATTATTTGTCTGTAGCATTTTTAAAAATAAAACACAACACCTATTCCAGTCATCTATAAGCCGGAAGGAAAAAGAAAAATATCGGATGCTTTCACCTATAGCGGAATATAGGGGGACCAAATAAGTCGTCAGTATAAAACAATAACAACAGTACAAAACACAACAAAGCAAAAACAGATAATTATAAATCAGAGACATCCTGCAGGGCAGGAGGCAGGAGAGGGATCAGAGGGAGGGAGGGAGGAGCACAGGGGACTGAGGTGATGGTGCACAGGTACATTGGTGAAGGAAGTTTTATGGGGACTACACCCGAGGGGGCAGGAAGCAAATATTGTTTAAAAATTAAAAAAAGATGTAAAAAATAAAAAAATAATAAAAAAAGCCCCACACTTTCATAATTCTTTTTTAAAGACTTATTTTTATTTGTTTATACAAGCACTGGGTACAGTCAGAAGCGTAGGAGGGTAAGAGAAATCACCAGAGCCAGAGCAGGGAGCAGAACAGGCAGACTGATGAAGTACACTGCTGAGGGGAGCAGTGGGCGGCAGGAGAGGTCTGCACGCCGTGTGGGACCCTCGCCGGTGGCCGGGGATCGAACCGTTGCTGCATAGGCTGCGGGCAGCTTCGCAACCCAGTGCACAACCGCTGCACCACTGGGGAGGCCCCACACTTTCATAATTTTTACCACCAGAAACTCCATTAGGTTCTCACTGTAAGGACCTAATATTTCTCTGTGGGAGAGTAAAGAGAATCATTGTGAAATAAACCCAAAATGTTATCTATAGTAAAAACCTACTTTCTAGGGGAAATGACTTTTCCAGAGCCTTGTCTCATCTGGGATGCACATGTGTGCACACACAGACATACACATACACACACACACAGAAGTGAATGAATTTAAGGTTCAGAGAACCAGAGATAAAGTCGAGAGAAGTCATAGAAAAATAAACACCTTACATATAGAGGAACATTGACAAGAAACAAAGCGGACTTCATGTAAGAAACAGCATAAAGAAAGAAGATAGTAGAATCAACTCAGTAAAGTGTTGAAAGAAATAAGCCCCACCAAGAAATCTATATCCAATGAAATTCTTCTTCAAAAGCAAAGGAACAGGATAGTCAGATGCCATACATGACCTTTCAGCCAATGATATGCGCATATGTGGATGGTCCTTATGTCCAGCCTTAGTGTCATTTAGGTTGTGCCATCTACATTTATGTAATTACACTTGATAATGTTTGCACAATGACAAAATTGCTTAATGATGCATTTCTCAGAAGTATCCCCATTGTTAAGCCAGGCATAACTGTAATAATTTTCTCAGACAAAGCGTGAGGAAATTCATTACTGGCATACCTGACCTATAAGAAATATTAAAGGAAATTCATCAGCAAGAAGGAAAAGATATAGAAACATGGATCTACATAAAGAAAAGAAAGCTATGAGAGAAGAAATAAATGAAGGCAAAACAATTTATTTTTGATTGCTCTAAAAAGTAATTTAAGGGGCCTCCCTGGTGGTATAGGAGTTAAAGTCTCAGCACTGTCAAGCTATCACCAGCCACTGCAGCATGAGTTCAATCCCCAACCAGGGAGCTAACCGACATGGTGCAGCAGACCTCTCCTGTCTTACCTGCTGCTCCCCTCAGCAGTGTATTTCAGTCGATCCACCTGTTCTGATCCCCACCTTGTCTCTGGTGAATTCTCTCACCACCCGCACCTCTGGCCTAGACCCCAGTTCTTGATGCATAAATAAATAAAATAAATCTTTAAAAAAATAATAAAAGTGGTAACAATGTATTGGAAGGTTATTGTACACTGAAAAGGGAAATCAATGATATTACTATCATAGGAAGGAACAATTGGGATATTCTGTTATAAGATACCTATATTACTTATAAAGTGTATTCTGCTATTTGAAAAATCTACTTAGATTAGTTTAAAATGTAAACTGGAAACTTTGAGACAATAACTAAAAAATTAAAAAAGATGTAAAATTGATACACTAAGAAAGGAAATAAAATGGAATCATATAAAATGTTCAATTAAACAAAGAAGGGGAAAACAAAGTTCAAACTCAATGAGTAGAAAATGGTTATACACATGGTAGATTTAATTCAACTAATACAAATGGTTTATATGCATCAATTCAAAGACAGATTGTCAGAGTGGATAAAAAAAATAAGCTCCACTTACATGTTGTCTGAAAAAAATGCAATTTAGTATAAAATTCATATATAATATAAAAATAGATTAAAAGTAAAGAGAGAGAGAGACAACTATGTTAGCACCAATCCAAGGAAAGTGGATATGGCTATATTAATTTTAACAAAAAATGAAGAGTGGACAGGTAGGGAATGTCTAGAAAAAGCTAGTCAGCAAAATCTGGGGCCCATCTTGCAATGATTAAAAGTGACTACAGATAGAAGACACACCTCCTTACCCTCTCTGCAGTAATGAAATCCCTGGGTGACTTAAGGCTAACCCTACTCTTCTCCATGGAAGTTTAGATGTTCCCCTGGATCTCAAGTTTACCCCAAGACTCCATGTCACATCCCATTCATTTTGTAACCCCCTACCTGCACTCCCAGTTCAATAGTGGTAGGAATAGTGGGGTCTGTCTTTATTATTTACTGATTTTCTCTTGGGCATTTTATAATAGGCCAAGGAAGTAATAAACTAAGTCAACATCCTAATAACTTGTTGGAAAGATTTAAAATTATTCACTAAAGAGTAATTTCATAAAGTTGCCTGGTAGCCCTTGAAAGAAAAAAGGTATACCATTTAGTGACAAATGCACTTCTATTTCTATGCTTTTATTATTTTTC